AGTAGATGGTGCTAGTCCAGCAGTGGACTTAAATAGGCTGATGATGATTAATAACTATATACGGACGCCCAATAACTAGATGATCTTTCACAGTTATAGATGATCTTACATGATGACCGCTGGGGAAGAAACTTTCACTTATTTTACTCTTGCTTACTTTGAATAAAAATTGAGTTCTGTGTTTCTTTCTTTAGATAAATTTGTAAAACCGGTACGCCGCGCCGATCACATGCGGGCTGAACCGATTTGTATTTATGTATGGAATAGACTAGGCAAACATTTAAAAAATATGTTATTCCTACTGCGGCATCTTCTCATGTAAAAATCTCATAGAAACCTCAATTTTTTGCATCTTGTTACCAATATTATACCAATATCGGGCATTAGTATATGTATTGATAGATTTTACGAATATTGTAATACTGTTAAAACTCTGTCCCAGACGAGTGACAAGAGAGAGGAAAAGAAAGAGACAAGTGAACCCAAAGCTGGCAACGTTGCACTCGCAAATACCATCCACGCTGTGAGGACGTTAAATATATATATATTCCAGGATGTAAATATATATTTACATCCCGCAATCGTTTGGACGTCCCATGAAGGCGAAAGTGCATTTAATCTGGCGTCCACCAGCTTTTGGCGTCCGCATACCGGACGCCACTTTTTTGGTCAATGCAACTTAGGTCCTTTTGGTCCTGGCTACACGTAGGTTAAAAATCGACAGAGGCCAAAAGATCGGTTCAATGGCTGTTATAGTATTTTGAAAAGTTCCCAAAGAAATCTCAGCGTAGATAGAGCGCTGCTGTAGCGCGTATATCCACAGCTGTATATTTTTGGGATTTTCTGATTATAAGTCCGCGTATTTGCGTCCTCAAAAAAATACAGCGACGTTGCCAGTTCGCTCATTAAATCCGTGGAAATAGTTCATAATATTATTTACCGCATTCAAAACAATATTCATCGTCGTACATTTCGGATGTGTTGCGTATTATTTGGAGTCCGATTTTATTATAATCATGTGATTGCAACTTACGACAACTTATCTGCAACCCTGTTCTCAATTTGTAAATGAGTACCTATCAGTGATATATTATAATAGATGAGGGTATAAATTAATTCCTTAAAGGGATCTTAGAAATAAGCACTAAAGTGACAAAATTATATGTCTTACCACAAAAAAGGTTAACCAGAGTATAATTCGTATTAAATGTGTATTTAGATAGTATTGTCTCCGTATAAATTTTGACGTAATTTTATTAACTTTATTTATTTATGGGTTAGAAGATGCATCTAACACTGAATAATTAATTAATGTTGTATTACTGATCAAATCAATCAACGTTTGTCTTCTTATTTCTAGCCTTGGCGTGTTATAAAGATCCAATTAGGAATTATAAATGTTTTTGATTACAAATCATAAACACTTCATTAAAAATGATATCCATATTTAACATAACATAACATCACGCCTTTTTCCCCGAAGGAGTAAGCAGAGATGCACATTACGGCACTTAATGCCACTGTACCTCTACAATGTAATATCCACAGTTTTACTATTTATGTTATGAGTCCCATGTAATAGGGGGTGAGTTTATTGCCATATACCGGGCACACTTCCAGACTCTTGAAAAAACCCAGTAATACTTTGCCCAACCCGGGAATGGAACCCGAGACTTTTTGCCAGGCGATCGCACTTGCGACCACTCGGCCAACGAGGCAGTAAAATGATATCCATATTCTTTGTTTTTATTTGCTTACTTAGAATTGGTAACTTCATATCAATAAGCTGCCAATTAAATATTTGATACAATTAGAGCTGGTTTCAAAGCTAGGGGAAATGGGCAGCGCGGCTGAAGCGCGGGCTTCAACAATAGAGGCATCAGGCAACAATCCAATAGAGGAGTTAATCGAGTGGCCAAAACTAGAAGTATTAAATTAGGAATCTTGCCTTAAATGAAATTGAAATTCAATACAATATTTGCGCACAAAGATCAGTTAACTTAAGGTTTAGATAAAAATAAAAGTGTATCTCATAGATCATAATTTCTAGCAATAAAGTCCTCTACTGGGACCTCTACCTCTATGACAGTCGCGTCGCAATAAAACGATGCTAGAGCTCTCATCATCTCCAAGCGCGAGGCATTTCAGCAGCGCTGCCCAATCCTTTAGCTCTGAAACCAGCCTAAATGAAAGAAGTTTTGAACATATATACTTAATAAAACCATTCTAGTAATAAGATATATTCTTATTATCTTTACTAATTACGGACGCCCAATAGCTATACGTGGACGTTCAATAGCTATATACGGACGCCCAATAGCTATATACGGACGCCCAATAGCTATATACGGACGCCCAATAGCTGTATATGGACGTTCAATAGCTATATACGGACGCCCAATAGCTATATACGAACGTTCAACAGCAATATACTGACGATCAATAGCTAGGTGATCTAACATGATAGCTTTTTTGAGGGATAAAAAATCATCCAATGCCTTTTACCGCCGGCCGCCGGCCGCCGGCGGCCGCGCTGGTGAGGCGATTGGAAGTTTCAGAGGAAGTTTCTCTTACTGACTTTTTTTTAAGCGGGGAAAATCATCGATTCCCGCCTGGTTAAGGCGGGAGGGAGTGTCACTCTTACTGACTAAAAACCACCCCGTTCCTTTTCCTGCACGTCCAGCCGGAGCCCCGGTTACCCGTTAGGTTCTCCGCGACTCCGACTCGGCATCGGCCCTACTGGGCCCCATCTGTGGTGGTTTTATGGCTCTTTGAGGCCCGCGCTTACGGTGGCCGGAGATCGTCCCGCGATCCCCGACGCCCGGCGTGTCCTTCGCGATGGCTGGGTTGCGAGGAGGCAGCGCTTCGCTGCCTCATGCGTCCCGCCTCCTCCTTAGCTAGCTTGACTGCTTCGCAAAAGGAGGAGACGGCATCCCAGTCCCCCTCGCTCCGCATCATGGCCTGCACTAGGCCCGGACGCGAGAGGTCGCCATCGCCGATCACTTCCCTGAGGGTACGGCAGTGCTCAGCCCACGCAATGCATTTCGCTATAGTGTGTTCCACCGTGTCCTCAGGGCGGTCCTCACAGTGATGACACCCGGACGTTTCCTCCCGCCCCATCAGACACAGGTACCTTCCGACTCTTACTGACTTAAAACCACCCCGTTCCTATTCCTGCACTTCGAGTCGGAGCCCCGGTCACCCTTTAAGTCCTCTGTGGCTCCGTATGGGCATCAGCTCCATCCGTGGTGGTCTGATGGCTCCTTGGGGCGTATGCGGAACGCGACGCGCCGTACGTACGGGTCTGGTTCTGATCGGGCGGCAAGTCATCCGTGCTCGCCGACCGCAGGCTCGTGCTTACGGTGGATGGAGACCGTTTCGCGATCCCCGACGCCTGGAGTGTCTCTCGAGACGGCTGGAGCGTGAGGAGGCTCGTTCCCTCACGAGCTCCGCCTCCTCCTTAGCTAGCAGGACTGCTTCGCAGAAGAAGAGACGGCATCCCTGTCTCCCTCACTCTGTACCATGGTCTGAACCAGTGTCGGACGCGAGAGGTCGCCGTCGCCGATCACATTCCTGAGGACACGACGGTGTTCAGCCCACGTAGGGCACACTGCCACCGTATGCTCCACCGTGTCCCCCGGTGGCCCTCGCCATGATGACACCCGAGCGTTTCCTCCCGCCCAATCCGAAGCAGGAACCTACCGAAAATTCCGTGTCCGGTAAGCACCTGCGTCAGGCGGTAGATAACGGACGCCGTAGCGTCTCTGTCTCTCAAGCCACTCCTCAAATCTAACATGACACCTGCTGAGGAAGTACGTGGATGTTCAATAGCTATATACGGACGCCCAATAGCTATATATGGACGTTAAATAGCTATATACGGACGCCCAATAGCTATATACGGACGTTCGATAGCTAAGTGATCTTACATGATACCTGCTGAGGAAGAAACTTTCTTCGCGCGCATGGCTATCGTCAGGCTCCGTAAGAGACCCCTGCCATTACCATGTCAATTGTCAGGATCCGCAATCAACGGACCTCCCATTTCCGTGTGTGAGCAGTATAGTGATGTAACTTTTTACTTGATGACCATAGCGTTTGGGTCAACTGAAATTTGCATGACCATTTTTGAATTCCTAACGTAGCCCAGTAGATGGTGCTAGACCAGCAGTGGACTTAAATAGGCTGATGTTGATTAATAACTATATACGGAAGCCCAATAGCTAGATGATCTTTCACAGTTATAGATGATCTTACATGATGACCGCTGGGGAAGAAACTTTCACGTATTTTACTCTTACTTGCTTTGAAATAAAAATTGAGTTCTGAGTTTCTTTCTTTAGATAAATTTGTAAAACCGGTACGCCGCGCCGATCACATACGGGCTGAACCGATTTGTATTTATGTACGGAATAGACTAGGCAAACATTAAAAAAATATGTTATGCCTACTGCGGCATCTTCTCATGTAAAAATCTCTTAGAAACCTCAATTTTTTTGCATCTTGTAACCAATGTTATACCGATATCGGGCATTAGTATATGTATTGATAGATTTTACGAATATTGTAATACTATTAAAACTCTGTCCCAGACGAGTGACAAGAGAGAGGAAAAGAAAGAGACAAGTGAACCCAAAGCTGGCAACGTTGCACTCGCAAATACCATCCACGCTGTGAGGACGTTAATTAGCCGAAGCCATGGTTAAATCACGTTCAATATATCTAGGAGCCCAATTAGTTATCACGATGGTTTGGGGTTCAAAAATGTTGCAGCATGACTGCAAGAAGAATATCGCGAAAAATAAAATTATCGGAAAATGACGTATCCTACAAAGCTGGAAATCGAATAACTAAGCAATATTCATCAAGACATATGAAAAAAATTAAGGGGAACTGGGGGACGTCGTAATGATGCGCGACGTGTGTGACGCCAAAACGATTCCAGGATGTAAATATATATGTATGTATATATATATATATAAATATATAGATATACTTACAGGGTTAACCGGGAATATTGAGGCAACCTGGTGTTGGAACCCGGGGCCAGCTGCCGCGCCGGCGAAGGCGCTATTGGACCCGAAGTGCGGCATTGGCATTGGTAGTGGCAAACTTGGTATGTTGGTGAACGCGAACCTGGAGGCAAGGTTTGGGGTGGGATAATAACCAGCCTGGTTCGACGTCAAGTCGAAGGCTTTTCTGGCGGCGTCGAAAGCTAGCCTTTGATTCTCAATGTTCCTTTGAAACACCCTGTAATCACAAAATTGTTAATTAATCACACTGGAAACGTTAGTAGGTTAGTGCGATGGAAGCGCAGAGAAGGAGAAGCGGGATTAGTGTGAACTACACTCGGAAAGTTAGGACGATTATATAATAGTCACTCCACGCGCATGCAGGTGTATCTGTTTACCTTTTCCCACGGGCTCCGCGAAGGAAACCTCCTCTATAAAATGCAATTCGTTAATAAGGTGTAATTACTAATTTACATCAGACAAAAGTTGGGGTACTGTGCGTATTAGAATTCGATGTCCTTGTTCAAGTTTGTATAAATTTTGAATGATAATGGAATTGTAGACTTGATGGCATTACGCCTGGACATCAGACTAAAATTATTGCATTAACTGCATAATTTAAAAAGCTACTTCTAGAACAACTTTAAAATAAAAATTTGTTAACAGACCATCAATGAATAAACCCCATATTTTGTCTGATGATTAAGACTAAAGACTAGATATTATATTAAGTTATTCTAAACTTAACTCCTACATCCTGTATGTAAACAGAACGCTCCAGAATAACGCTAACAGGTGAGGTCAAAAACAAGTATTATTTTCATAATAGAAGTATAGGTACTTCTGTTGTGTTGTGTTCTGTGATGTTGTGTTCTGTGATGTTGTGTAAATAACACTCAAACATGAACAAAAAACAGAAAATTAAAAATTTAATTAGTCCGTAAGTTAGGTAATGAAAAAATATTAGACACGTACTTTTTTATTCCGTTGTATAATAAAACGATACTTAGATAAAACGAATCAAAGTTTAGGAGTGGGGGCTTAAACGTCATTTCTACGTATAAAATGTACATAGAAGTGACGTCATGCGACATTTCAAATCAATATATCGTCGAAAAATTCGTAGATTCTGTAAGAAAATACGTGTCTAATGTTTTAAAATAATCTACCAGACGGACATTAAAATAAAAACTAGTCATCTACCCTATTGTAAAAAAATATTTATTTTTGTCATCGTTTTTCGGGAGCGTTCGTGTTCCATCCAGAATAAACTACCACATCCACATGACGAACTTGCAACTGCTAACTTCACTAGATAAGCACACACAATAGACATCATTTGTTCCTACTAAATTCTATAAACCCATCACCATTTACTGTAGACCCGCCACCGGAAGCAAATAGCTTTATCTGCTAGGTCTTACTCTTGAAGTAAATTCTCGAGGTTCGCGAAATACGCTGTACCGAAGTCGTCTTCGTTAGGGTACGCGATATCGGCGAAGCGCTGGGGTATGGGGTCACCTGACGTGGGTATAACCCTGCCGTCCTTCAACCCGTATGTACCTCCGTACCTATGGCCTGATGAGTCCACGTACGCGAATGCTCCTCCTCCCTGCAAATTTGGTTCACCTGTGGATAGAAGGAGAAATTTGTTGTAGTTAGTTGATTTAAGTAAGTTATTAGAAACGGGTAGAATATACTGACTTTCTTAAATCGATAGGATATTACAATTGGCTAAAATATCAGTCCTCGTTTAGAACAAAAACGTTGTATTGTCGTTACATCGTTCTCACATCTATATGCACTAGGTAAAGGATCACATCATTTATCAATGAGGCTGTAAACATGTTTTTTAAAGAGTAACGATGGATTTTCTTGCCCTTTCATCTCCATTGAAAACTTCCCTTTGGAACGAGCACTTAGCTTCACTAACAGACAGACGGACAAAACAATACAATTTTTGACGTTTCTAAAGTGTTTAATTAAGGATTAATTAAAATGAATGATTTTGACAAAAATATACATTTATAGACAAAAATCCCTGAAAGATTTTATAGCGATAACTTAAGATTATATTATTTTTTTATCTAGGTACTATCAATAGCAAACTATGAATCAAGTAGAATCTATTAGATGATAGATCTATAAGAGAAAGCAGAATCAAAAGAGTTACTATTTTTTTTGTTAAAGGTCCTTAACTGCCGATTTGGTAACGAGTAATAATGATCTATGGTTGATTAAATTACGGTACATATTTTCTGACAATAGGTACTAAGTTTCGTAGGAGCTAGGCATGACATCGAGACAATCCTGTGTGGGTAGCAGACTATTAAAAAGTGAAAAGACTTCATCAAATATTTAATTTTCGTTGTCCAGATATGGATCTAGACGCCTACAATGTTAATTAATATAATAATTGTTGACGTCATCAATATTTAGTTCTTGAATGTAGTGAAATTGATTTAATAAAATCTCTCTATCCATTAATTTTGTTATTTCTCAATTTACTAGATATGAAATTAAAAGTAAAGCTATTTAAGTCGAAATTGTTATTAATGTAGATCTTTATTAATACTCGATCGAGTGGGTTTTTTGATAATGCATACATTATGGATGAATTTGGAAAGGATAGTGGGCAAAATAATCTCAACCTAACAAAAACATGTTAATATACAGAAAACTCTGGGACAGTACTTGATGAGCTTTGGCTCAGGGAAGCATTGCTGTGATACTTTACAAATAGAAGTAGTCAAAACTGTGGCGGACGTAAGTGCGTCGCCCATACATTTTTGTCCACCCTCCTTTCTATTTAACACATTGGATGCCATGTTGGACAATGATGCCCGACGCTAGCGGAGGATTACTCTTTAACAGTTTTTATCGGCAGTTAAAGGCTTAAATATTATAGTAGACTACTACCACTGTTCAGAACCTTACCTTAGGTTTAGATGTCTAGTTAAATAAAATTTAAGCATAGGAGTACCTAAATAACAAGACAAGACAATAACATAACGATGGGTTACGATATACAAAACAGTATCTTCAATTCACCTAACAAATTTAGAGCTAATGGCAAACCTTCTTATGTAGAGGAGGCGCATAGTGCAGTAACTGGTGAACAGAAGGTGATAAAAAAAACAAAGTGTGTACAAAACACACTATACATACGTCGAAGGTGCTAATAAGACTATCATAGCCATAGCATAGCAAAAACTAAAAGAAACAATTCAGGGAAATCCCCAGAACACAAACGAATAAAAACGAAGCATCAATTTCGATCGTTAATTAGGAATCACGCCTAATATTCATTTAAAAAATTAGTACAAAAGTCACGTGCCTAACACACGCGATACATATTGATCATCACCATTATCGTCATCAGTGTTAGATCATTTAACATTTGTCCCATTAACTTTGTGGTTAGTAAAAACTCAGGCGCATGAGAGCATCTGACATCAGTACTTAAATCACTAATCGTTGGGAAAACCCCTGTAATATAATAGGCTATGTAATTATGATTTTAATTACAACGTCTCTAAGGTATATTTTGCGAATAACAAAATAACTTCGCGCTTTATAATTGTGGTACAAGGATTGTTTTGTTGTTAATTGAATTGCGAATAGGTATGATTTAATTATGTATGAAGTGCAGAAATAGATGTTTTGCGCACTTTTCGTTTGTTTTTTTTTGATGATGCATTAAAGAAGATTCTAACTGAGTTTACATGCATAACATCACGCCTTTTATCACCGAGACCCCTGGCCTGGCAGTCGCACTTGCGACCGGGATTCCTGGGTCGGGCAAAGTATTACTGGGTTTTTAAAAAAATCGTAGTAGTAGCACGGAGTCTGGAATTGTGCCCGGTATATGGCAATAGGCTCACTCCCTATTACATGGGACTCATAACATAAATAGTGAAAAAGTAGTTGTTACATTGTACAGTGGCATAACGTATACCTCTGCCTACACTTTCGGGGATAAAAGGCGTGATGTTATGTTATATTCCCTTGCTCTAACATGATAAAAAAATCAGTTCGTGAAGCTTCAAAATGGTTATAAATCCACGCATCGCATTTCATCGTTGTCCTTTTCTCTATCAGCCCGTGTCACCATGATTACAAATTTAGGTTTGTATGTTAAATTAATGAAAGCCTCATTATTTACTCATAGTTATATATCATATCGTTGATAACACCAACATTGGAAATATGGAGAAGCTCAAATAAAGCTCCAAAGATCGGGTAGATCCAAATAACTCAATATTGGCGGGTTACTCCCGTGAATATACTGAGAAAAGCTCTACTAGTTTCGAACCACAGAGGGGTTCTTCCTTATGAGCAGCGTGCGCGGTCGCGGCGACGTCTCGCGCAGCTCACTGGCTGGCGTTGGCGCTCGCATCGGTGTTGCTACTGTACTGCGAGTCCAAACCCAGCTTTTCTCAGTATAATAATGTGAGTAACCCGTGATTTTAGTTAATTTAGTATGTCTCACGATAGTTATTATAAAAACAAAACTCAATATTCTTTAAAATGCATGAAATGAAATAAGAAAGTAATTGAAAAAGGTAAAAGAAATAGATGTCCTTGACAGAGACAAGAACCTATTAATGCATATGATTAAAAGGATGGACATAAATATCAAGAAAAGCAAAATAAACCTAAAAAGAGTATAAATTAATACACAATTAGAATAAATGTCTAACCTCAAGGTGTGAACGGTGGAACAGCAAATATTATACTGGAATCAATAAACGACTACAAACCATTGTTAACTAAGTCAATAGAGTTGAAGATGCCATGAATATGGATGACGCAATAATTGTTGAAGGAATTGAAAAGAAAGGCGTATTAAATCGTGGTTGTGTCGGAAAACACGATGAGGATTGTAACGATAAGGGCACTATACATGACTATAAAGTTGCTGTAATAGGCACGTTTCGTAGAGTTATTAAAATATTTATTTTTCCATATAAAGTTAAAGTCGAAGCATTTATTTTAATCTGCCTCGTTGGCCGAGTGGTCGCAAGTGCGACTGCCGGACAAGGGGTCTCGGGTTCGATTCCCGGGTCGGGCAAAGTATAACTGGATTTTTAAAAAATTCTCAGTAGTAGCACGGAGTCTGGAATGGTGCCCGGTATATGGCAATAGGCTCACCCCATATTACATGGGACTCTTAACATGAATAGTGAAAAGTGGGTGTTACATTGTACAGTGGTATAATGTGCACCTCTGCCTACCCCTTCGGGGATAAAAAGGCGTGATGTTATGTTATGTTTGTTCCCTCTACTCCTTCAGATAATAAAAGGTCGCCTACGTTATGAACTAGAAGCTAAAATATTAGGACACAATTTGTACCTACATATTTGAGAAACATTTTTTAAACCTCAGTAATACTGTGCCCGACCCGGGAATCGCAGTTGCAACTACTCGGGCAATGAGGCAGTCAAGAATCCTGCTATCATATTATCAAATCGATCAACTTAATAGATAATGAAGTGTGAATCTCCATTTGTAATTTTAATGATCTTTTGCATGAGACACAAATGATCATTAATGCGGTCATCACTATAGGAATAATGGAAAATTTATTAAAACCTATATTTGTAATGATGAATCATTTCATATTTTGTATGTCTTCGTTAATTCTTTATTGTTTTATGTGGTCGCGACGTGTATGTGGTTTCTTACGTGGCGTGCGCGGGTGTAAATACGTGTACACACATTTTCAATTAGTTATGACTTTTCCTTATCTTCTGACAATATTAGATTTGTCATAGTAGATTGATACTACAATAGATTTTGTAGTCTTTCAGTGAGCATCGACAATCGACATTACTACTGAGAAACCCCGTACAAGTCTGTATATTATAACATATTATTATATACAAAGTATTACTGGGTTTTTTAAAATTCTCAGTATTAGCACGGAGTCTGTAATTGTTCCCGATATATGGCAATAGGCTCACCCCCTATTACATGAGACTCATAACATAAATAGTGAAAAATGGGTGTTACATTGTGCAATGGCATAGTGTGTACCTCTGCCCACCCTTCGGGGATAAAAGGCGTGTTGTTATGTATTATTATATACCTACATTCGCTTTGCTTAATAAGGCTATTGTTTTAAAAATATTTTCACAGTCAATATAAAAACAATGCGATTTGAATTTACTGCTGCTTGCAATGAGCCCGCAGTTATAAGTGTGACAGGCTAAATCGCGAACTGAATACAAAACACCACGTCAACCCAAAGTGCATTATGTGTATTTTGTCATGTTTTTTAAAGCATGAAAACGTAAGTATAAGTAATAAGATAAAATCTCCCCTGGTTCCTATAAGATAACCAGGATGATGAATTTTACATTTTTTTTTTTTTATAATTGATGGGGCGACGTTTGACCACTATCTCACCTGATGGTAAGCGATGATGCGGTCTACGTTGGAGCACGTCGTCCCATAAGCAACCTATTCACCCGAGTGAAGGCCCGAGCCTTGAAGACTCCCAGGTTATACCCTTCAGGAAATACAGACTCTGGCAAAGAATTCCACTCTTTAGCAGTACGCACAAGGAAGCTTGAAGAGAAGCGCTTCGTGCGTGTGGGCGGAACATCTACCATGAATCGGTGACG